GAATAACACTTTGTCGTGTAGGCGGCGCAAGAATTCCACTTTAGATCCCATGTTACACTCCATTTTAACTTTCTCTAAAATTTAAATTACTTTACGATTTATGTAATTCATACCGTCGACTCTCGTCGTGCGATGAAATATTAACATTTCTCGCATAAAGGAAACGCGTAATCCCTGCATTATCCGAACGCTAAAAACGTGAATGGCGTTCCACCGAAAGATAATTCAATGAATATTTCACAACCAAACGTACGTCGACCAAATTCTTGATTGCCTCTCAAACGTATTCAAGGTTAGCGCATATACTTTCCCGTAGAAATATCTATTAGATCGGAAAGTTACTCTTCCATCGAACATCTTCTTGCATTTGCATCAAATTTTCATCGGACAAGGTACGTAGCCGTTCGTTACAAGGTACGTAGCCGCATCCGTGGATAGCCGTGGAAGGGACCAGCCGCCATTCAGAAGATCGAGACGCAACGAACAACCGTATTCCGCGCAATCGACAGAAATTTCAACGCGCGATGTAATCGTATCTGCCAATTCGGCGAAACTCGGCTCGAGTGAAAGTGCACGCCGCGAGTGAAACATTTTCGCCTAACGTCTTAAACCGTTAAAATCGCGCGGCCGAGTTTTATCGTGGGACGACGTCCGATTTTTATTTTACTCGGAAACAACAATCGCGTTTTAACTTGGTTTCTCGCCTAGCGATCTTACATAATCAGCAGCCTATTGCTGTAAACTCGAAAGAGCGCTAACGAATTTCAAGCAGCTTCGAGGTTCGTACATGTCGTTCCAAGTGCGGATCAACACTAACTATTTATACGTTAATACGTTAATACGTTTATACCTTATAAAAAACTTACTTACAAGTCTTTCTTATATCGTGTTGTCGAGGATCGATGATTTTTCCACGATGACCGAGCGCGACATCGACGTAAATATGATACCGTTTCAAATGCTCCCTTGTTACGAGTAAATATAACGAGATCACGATTATATACGAATGTCGTGTAGAAATATAATAATAACAATTGTATCAAAGTATAAATTATCGAGGCGATTTTATTTGTAGACAAGAATCTTCAAATACCGTTTACCAATAATGATAATCGCCAAAGATGAATTTGGGAAAGCGTCAACGGTATCGCCAGCGAAAAGGGTGGAATACGCGTCAGATGCTTACAAGTTTTAAGCGAACCTAACGTACGTTAGAAAGCCGTAAGAAACGATCTGACGCCGGTAATGTCCGTGACCAATGGTGCGCCAAGGGCCGATTATCAAGATGCAAAAGCAGAAACGATGACCGAAGAACGAGACTAAGAACTTGCTCTCTCTCTGTCGCGCGCGCAGTGCGAA